GTTCCACTCTGTCCTCTAGGGGCGCTGTGGGTCAGAATGGACTCCAGGCAGTGGGTGTGGTTTGGGCTTTGCTTCAGTGAAGATTGACAGCCTTGGAGACCCTGTGGGGCAGTTCCACTCTGTCCTCTAGGGGCGCTGTGGGTCAGAATTGACTTGATGGCAATGAGCTTTGTTTGTTTTATATTATATACTTTTAATATTTGTATTATATTATTTATTTATAATATTTATTTATTTTATTTATTTATTATATGTGTATACATACTTATATATTTATTACTGTGAAAATGGCATGACCTCATCTCTCTCTCATCTGACTTCACCAGGGGCAGAGACAGTTGCCCTATCAGCCCAAGGCTGATTGCTGTGAGGTAGGACAGACAGCCTCTTCTCTCCGACTTTTTTACCGATTCTGATACCAGCCGTTGCTCTCATGGTACTCTCTGCTTCTCTGCTGGGTTCAGTAATTTGTTGCAGTGGCCACACAGAACTCACAGACAATCCTCACAATTATGGGGTTTATTAGGTTACGATTCAGGATCAGGGAAGACTCGAGATACACTTCTTTGGTCAGGACAGCCTCTTCTCAGCTGTGCAGGAGGGAGGCCTCTTCCTGACCTCTTCCTTTCAAGCCTTGGCCCCTCAGGCCTCTTGGGCTGACCAGGCCTCTGCCCTGCTCAGACATGTGTTATAAAGCTCTTTAGTTCCCCCAAAAGTGCCTGGAAGTGGCCCACTCTGCAAGCAACCTGACTGCCCAAAGGCATTCCTCTTTCTCGTTCAGTGGGCTGGAAGCACACTGCATGCTCTCACACGGCTCTCCAGCTCTGCTGCCTGTCTCCCTGCCACGGCTTCTCGCCGTCCCTCTCTGGCTCTGGGAGGTTCTCAGTGCAGGGACCTCAGGTCCAAAGGATGCACTCCTCTCCCGTCTCCTCTTCTTGGTCCGCCCTCCACTTCCCCCTCCCTGCTGCTCCTCTTCTGCCTGCCCCCTGCTCTGAGATCACCTCTCTTAGAAGCTTAGCAGGATGGCAAAATTGACCAACCCCTCACTGGGGATCCGTATACTTCATTTACATGCACCCCCACAGGGGTTCCATGCACCTCATTTCCATTATCAGCAAGCTGTCCAAGCCCCTTGGTGGGCCATAGGCATCTTATTTGCATAGCCCCAGCCAGTCATTGCGTGGGAGTCACAAAGACTATGGCTAGAAGGGTTGTATGAAGTAGCGACATCCCTCAGGTTCAGTTCCAGGCACTGTGATAAAGCAATACAGCAAATGTCACAACAAAGCAAGTCACATCAGAGTGTTTGGCTTTCCAGTGCACACAGAAGTTATGTTTATTCCATAGTGTAGTCTGTGAAGTGTGCAATAGCATTATGAAAAAGTTCAAACTATTGTGAGACACAGACGTGAAGGGAGCACGGGCTGTTGGAAAATGGCTCCAATAGACTTGCCCCGTGGGATCACCACTGACCTTCAATTTGCGTAAAAAGTGCAATGCCCATGAAGCATGATAAAGCCAAGTCCAGTCCAGGGGCCCGTGAGTCACTGCATCACAGTCACCACGTTCTGTTTCTATGTACTTACGATATTTCAGTATTTGTTCTTGTACGTTTATTGACATGTGCGATATCATGGCTATATGTTTATATATTCTATATACTTATTTATATAATAGATAATTCATATTATTTCTTTCAATATTATAAGTAGGAGCTCTGGTGGCATAGCACCTAAGGCATTTGACTGCTAACCAGAAGGTCTGCAGTTCAAACCCACCAGCCACCCCTGGAAGGAAGACTAGGCGATCTGCTTCCATAAAGATTCACTGCCTCAGAAACTCAAAGGGGGTCACTGTGAGTCGGAATCAACTCCGTGGCAGTGAGTTTTTTTTTATATGTAACATATATACTCTTATACATACATGATTTATGTATGTACTTACATATAATTTTTGTGTTTATTTGCATGGTACAGTGACTAACACGGCCCTTCTAGCCACAGTCCTCCACTTTGTGATGTACTGTAAACCCTGTCCCCTAAGCCTGTGGTCGTGGTCCCGTTTGGGGTGAGGTGTCTGTTGGCTTGATGACGCAGGATTAGGGTGGGATGTGTCTTGAGTCCTGCTTTGCTGGAGAGTGTGATTGGAGTCACCGCTCTCAGTGCCCTTGAGGTCTGTGCGTGGACGTTCTGGGAAGTGCTCTCTCCTGCCCGGATGCTGCACCTGCCTCGTCATCATCCCACCCCGTTCCTGGGATTTGAAACAACAGCCAGTCATCTGACTGCCAGTTTGGGTCCATCGGCCCTGCACTCACGTGAGGAGACTCCTCCACCCTGACGTCTGACCCACGGCTTTGGGGCTTGCCAGCCCCTACCACTGTGTGAGCCATTTCCTTAGCTGTACCTGAGTTCTGTGAGATGTTACAGCGAAACACAGAACCCTAAGACAACAAGGAGACTCTCGAGGGAAGAGGGGGACTAGGT